ACATAGCAGAAACCACCTCCAGAAAGTCAGCATCTTGTGAGCCCACTAGTACCCCACAAATCCGGTGCTGCTGTGATTTGTCAAAGTGAAAGAGAACTGTTTAATTAACCGTCTTTACTCACCCTAAAAGCCCTAAAACCTCTTGACACTTCCCTATCAAAATGGTCTCTTTCCCAAGCTAGAGGCTAGATAGNGAGAGAGCATCTTTTAATTTCATGGCTTCAATCACCATCTGCAGTGATTTTGGAACCCCAAAAAATAAAGTCTGTCACTGTTTGCACTGTTTCCCCATCTATTTGCCATAAAGTGATCTTACTCTTACTTCACTATTATTTTGGTTTGGGTTCTCTGTTATTGCAGGTTGGAACTTCATAAGTACACCTATTTTACAGATGTACTTAATGCCTTAGAAGAGAGGCACTGTCTCTGACCTTATATAGCAGAACCTAGCTACACATGATTTTTAAAGTAATAAGCATGCAACATAGATGGGGAAAAAAAGTCTAGTGAAAAATATTCACAACTTTCCCTCTAGCAAATCCCTTCCTGTATATAAGAGAAGAGGATGCCATGAGTCACCATGAAACTTAGAGACTGAAAGTCACCTGTTCTCTTCCAAAAGATTTTCTGGGTATTCATTTTTAAAATGCAGTAAGTCAAAAGGCTTGCTTTCATCTCTTTTGCCTGTTTCACATGTTCAGAACTATAAGAGTCCCAAACAAATAATTAATAAATAAGTCATTTCACATATATTATATATTTTAATTGTAAAATATTTTTCACATTCAATGCCAAAATATAGACACTGTAACCTTATTTGCTGCCTCATACACACAGACAACACTCTCCTCTCTTTTTCTCATTTTGAGCAGGCAATGTTCAAGGCCTGCCTCCATTAACTTTTACTTTGCTCCAAGTCTTCCAACAGGGCTCAGATGCCCTGTAAGTTTCATCCTTCTTGTTGTGGTCAGACCTGAGAGAGCACTTCCCAAAGGCAGGAAGTACCATGGAAACCTGGGGAAATGTCCTCACCTAACTCACAGAAGAGAAGTTTGGAAGAGCCCACAGAGCAATTTGTGGGCCTTAAGCTTGTGAGTCCTAAATGAAGGTGACCACACCCAGAGGAGGTCTCCCCAAGTGATTCAATCACAAACCACAGAATGGCTCCTATGCTGCCAGAGAAGACTGGTGGGAATTTTCTAGCTAATCAGCTTTTACCAAGTGTGCTGGGGAAACATCTCTGAGAGGGAGGCTTTAGGACCCAAAGGGGGAATTGAAAAGCAGCACCTGGATCTGCCAGATGCAGGAAGAACAAGCAAGCCATCTCTGAGAAGAGCTAGGTGGGGCTCCTCATGACAATGGTACACATAAGTTTACACCTCCACTTGGGAGCAATCAGTTCACACCAACCTAACACATCAAGGCATTGAGGCAGGTCAGAGCACAGACAATCTATGACCTGTTTAAAATGATGGGGCCAGAAAATTTGCGAGTTGGGTGCCGTCATCAATGCTGTTGTAACATTTTTGAGGCAAGGTACCATGAGCCTTGGGGCCTCCATATCTTCCAGGACAACAGAAGTGTCCCAGGCAACACTGGTATAGGACCTAAGTGCTTTAGGTTTAAAATTTTGGGTTCCTTGTGCCTTTGGAAAGTAAGTTATTGTAACTTCATAGGAACTTTCATTTATCCTTCAGATAGGTTTTACTTGTATTCTCTCATTTAATCTGATTTAATTATGATAGCACTGTAAAATGGTGATTTTTTAAATTTTCAATTTTATAGAAGAAGAACCTAGGGTTTACAGAGATTAAAGTTTATGGAGATGTAATAAATTAACCCCAATGGCACAGTGACAACTCTGGTCTTTCGATATTCCATCTGGTGTTCTTTGAATTATCCAGTGGTTTTCAAACTTAGTTGTTCAAGGCCTTCAACAATTCCATGGAAGAGTTTGTGAGATTTTGTGGAGGTTCTTAAAGCAAGTAACATTGACATATATACACTACCCCGTGTAAAATAGATAGCCAGTGGGAAGCCGCTGTCTAACACAGGGAGCTCAGCTGTGTGCTCTGTGACAACTTAGAAGGTGAGATGGGGTAGGGATGGGTAGAAGTTCAGGAGGAAGGGGACACATGTGTACTCATGGCTGATTCATGTTGTTGTATGGCAGAAACCAACACTATACTGTAAATCAATTATCCTCCAATTAAAAATAAAAAAAAATTTCTTAAAAACTACTGCTCAGTACTGCCTGACTTTGGTACAGCCCTTTGCTTTCAAGTACATGTGATTCCCTCAGCAATCATCACAGTGTTGTTAGGCTTCATTTTCCCCTGATGCTGCAATGATTAAGAAGGATAAATAATACATAGATAGGGCCCTGGGTGCCTTGAAAGCAAACCTCGCTTCCGTAAGGATCCCAGGCTCACAGCGCTGTGGTGAAGCAAGGGGCAAAGCAGAAGGAAGTCTGTTACTGATACTTCGCGCCATCAAGTGATAATGCAACCGCTCCTCTTCCTGTTGAGAGTTTGAAGTGCTCTTACTTATGAATGAAATTCTCTCAGATTGGTTTTTTAAAATTCCTTTAAAACACCTAGCTCTTAAATGAGCTATAGTAGCTTCCTTCCTCAGTGACTGCTCAGACATAACCGCTCAGATGTTCCTTGTGTTTGTGGCTGCCTACCATCTAAGCCTGGGGTTTTGACTCAGGAAACAATAATGCAGAGAAAGAAGCAGGGAAACAGAATTTATTCCAGCAACAGCTAGAATATCTAGTTTCCATGTCAGGATGGCATGCAATGTCCAGTGCTTGCAGCAGGAAAGGCTTCATCAGATTAGCTCCATGGTATGATTTTGACAGCAGTTGTGACTCCCTCCCTCCCTTTTAATTATATGCCCATTTTCAGAGCTTGAGTCTCCCAGAAATTCTATGAACTATCCAACTCTTCTTCTCAGGGTTTGGGTTTCCAGGCTCACACTTTGGAGGTGTGTTTGACTCTTCTCTGTGACTCTGTATCTAACTCGCCAGGAAACTCTGAAGGTGGCCCATCTCCTCCACTGGTGCCCCAGGCCCAAGCCACCATGGACGACAGCCTCCTAACTGGCCTTCCTGCTTTCACCCTTGTTCCTGTACAGTCCTGTCTCCACACAATAGTCAGGGATCTTTTAAAGTCTTAAGTCAGGGGACTTCCCTGATTGTCCAGTGGCTAAGACTTGCAGTTCCCAATGCAGGGGGCTGGAGTGGGCAGGGAACTAGATCCCACATGTCTTAACAAAGATTGAAGATCTTGTGTGCTGCCAACTAAGACCCAGCACAGCCAAATAAGTAAATAGATATATTTTAAAAATAAAATCTTAAGTCAGATCCTGTTACTCCTCTGATTAAAACCAACCCATACTTCTGATTTTACTCAAAATAAATTTCAAAATACATATTGAGTCCTAGATGATTGGCCTGTAGCTTGCTACCTTTCTAATCTTATTTCCCTTCTCTTCCTCATCTGCTCTGCTTTGACCACACAAGCCTCCCTGCTGTACATCAAAATGCCGAGCATATTCCTTATACTTTAGCTTTGCTGTTCCTTCTGCATGGAGCACTTTTCTCCAAGATGCCACTGTGACTTGCTTCCACACTCAATTAGGTCTCTACTTAAATGTTATTTTATAAGACAGGCCACCTTGACCACCTTATTTAAGATAGTGATCTTTTTCTCTGCCAGATCCTTTCCTCTGCTGGAGTCCTCTATTTTTCTTTTCTAAATCATTTTCTTTTCTGAATCTGAATCATTCCTCTTTATTTTATTTCTTTAGTACCTGAAATACAATATATTTATGCACTTGTTTATTGTTTATCTTCCCTACTACACTGTAAATTCCTTGAGAATAGAACCTTTGCTTTTTTACTATATCCCCTGGGCCTAAAAAAGTTCTTAGCACATAGTGAGCACTCAAGAAACATATATTAAGTAGATGTGTTGACCAAATAAATTCCACTTCTGCTTAGACCAGCTAAAGCTGACTTCTATTTCTTACAACATAAACTCCTAAGGGCCTTATCTGATAGACATAATGTAGGGCCTAGTACACCATGGAATCAAATTGATCTTTTGTTTGGTGCTCTTGGGCAAAATCACTTAACATACTGGGACTCAGTTTCTTTATATGTTGTACTTTTATAAGATAATTTTACAAATTTTTTAAAAAGCTGAATTTTAAAGCAACAATAAAATAGTGATTTTTCCAAATTACTTCATTCTTTAGCTTTTTCAGTTAGCACTGTATCTGTTAGAAATGAGTCACCTCTCCTCAAGATTTTCTCATTCTCAACTAATCTTAAATACTGCCATTGCCACTTGTCACTATTGCCACTCATATCATCATCACAATTATCATTAACTAAAAGCACCAATCTAAAAGAAAGTTTTGGGATGCGTGCTAAGTTGTTTCAGACATGTCCAACTCTGTGCAACCCCATGGACTGTAGCCTACCAGGCTCCTCTGTCTGTGGGATTCTCCAGGCAAGGATGCTGGAGTGGGGTTGCCATTTCCTTCTCCAGGGATCTTCCCAACCCAGGGATCAATCCTATGTCTCGTATGTCTTCTGCATTGGCAGGCAGGTTCTTTACCACTATTGCCACCTGGGAAGCCAAGATTTGGTAAGTAAATGCTAAGGAGGGGTTTCCTTGGAGCCTCAATGGTAAAGAATGTGCCTGACAATGAGGAGGTGCCGGTTTGATCACTGGATCAGAAAGATCCCCTGGAGAAGAAAATGGTAACCCACTCCAATATTCTCGCCTGGGAAATCCCATGGACAGACGAACCTGGTGGGCTACAGTGCATGGGGTGACAAAAGAGTCTGACATGACTTAGTGATTAAATAACAAAATAAAATGTTAAGAAGTTCAGAGCAAGAGAAAGTTCGTTGTGAACAGAGTTGAAAGACGGGTGGGACTGAAGGTAGGCTTGGATGAAAGACAGAATTAAGGTGATCAGGGACTTCCCTGGTGGTCCAGTGGCCAGAACTCTGTGCTCCCAATGCAGGGGACCCAGGTTCAATTCCTGGTCAGGGAACTAGATCTCACATCACGACTAAAGATCCCATGCACCATAATAAAGACACAACTAACACCGGGCACAGTCAAATAAATAAATAATAATATTTTTAAAAAGAGGTGATCAGAGGGGAAGGATGATCTACAGACACTTTATACACATGCAAACAGCACTGCAGGCACATGACGAGCAGGTGAAAGAAGCTGAAGCAAGCAGGGTCTAGTTTAGTAGGGGTTCCCACAAGCTATGCATGAGCTTCTCTTGATCTCTAGGAAAAGATTTAGAGATCTCATAGCTTAAAGCTGTGTCTCAGGTCTTTAAATTGTACAGTATCTACATCCTCAACCAAATTTTTCTTCTTCCATCTTATTTGTTTATTTTTGGCTGCTCTGGGTCTTGGCTGCTGTTCCTGGGCTTTCTCTATCTGCGCCGGGTGGGGCTGCTCTCACTGCAGCGGGCAGACTTCCCGTGCAGGTGGCCCCTCGTTGCTGAGCACAGGCTCCAGGGGGTGGAGGCTGCAGTAGTTGCAGCAAGTAGCTCAGCAGTGCTGGCTCAGGGCCACTGGAGCATGGGCACAGTAGTGACGCACAGGCTTAGTCGCTTTGAGGCATGTTGAGTCTTTCTAGGCCAGGGATCAAGCCTGTGTCCCCTGCATTGGCAGGAGGATCCCTATCTACTACACTATCAGGGAAGTCTCCTCCATCTTCTTACAACCAAAGATTGTATAAACATTTTTTTTAAGTTCCTTTGCGTCATTCATTGGGTTTATAAAATGTTAGGCCCTTTTCTTTTGAACTGCTACCAAACTAAGTTTTTCCCTTCCTATGCTTATTACATATATTTAATGTATACACCAGACTTTCCAATTACTCCTGTAAATTTATATCTTGCAGCCCAACATTACAGCCTGTTACTTAGTGTTTGGCATCTTAACTGTGTTGGTCAATACAGTACAATTTATGTCACCTGAGAATTTCATACAAATATTTCTCATAGGTCTTTATCCAAGTTGTTGAAGAAACTGTTGTATGAAGTAAGGCTTGGACCCTTAAAGATCTTTCATCAAGTTGAAATTGATCTTATCAGTACTTGAGTTTAACTTTTCAATCAACAATAAATAAATTCACCCAACTATTTTTGCAGGGAAGAGACTGAGGTTTGTTTAGTAAGTAAATAATGGACTGAGATTTCTGTGAACGTGATGCTGATACAAACTTTGCCACTAACTTTGTCAAGTTAAATAACTCCTTTTGACTCATTTGGAAAAAATTCAAATGGGTAATGCTCAAAATCCTTCAAGCTAGGTTTCAACAGTACATGAACCAAAGGTTATGTTAAATCATTTCCTATTCTAAAATTCAGAGATTTTTACCATCCAGTCAGTATTTTCAAATGAAAAGAGACCATATTGTACTATCTCTTTAAGTATTCATTTTCTCTCTCAAACACAGGGCAATAACATTTCTGATTGGCCCAGTTAATGGTATTTTGGCAAAACTGAGTCTCACAATATTGCCAAGAATAGACAGTCTAATTTCAATTCATTTCAAAACACTTTGTTGAGAGCATGCATACTGTTCCAGGCATTGTATTAAGGGGCTTCTAAAATAAATTACCAACAGTAAAAAAACTAAGCTAACTACCAAGTAAACCCTGCATTCCCAAATTGACTTCTACTCACTGATTTTGAATGTGTGCTGAGCTATGGAAGTATGTCTCAAATTCTTTTCCATTGACACTAGCCATTGTAGTTTCCACAACATCAGTCTTTACTCATTTCATTAAAAGAACTGTATCTTGTCCCTGAAATCTTTAAGATGTTCTCTCAATCCCTCAGAGATCTTATGCAAATAATCATTTTCTTCATTCTATTTTCCAGTATTCCTTCTGGGACATTCATTTAGGGAAATGGAAATTATATCAGTTAGGATTTGATTAGAGGTGAATACTATTAGGAGTGAGACAGAATAAAGGATTTATTATGGGGATTGGGTCTTTACAATCCTGGAAACCAGTTAAGCCGTCTGTGTAAGTCTGTTGCTTTTGCATCGAGGGCTAGGCCTGAAGTCAGCAAGGCCAGCAGTTGGAAAGAGGAGATAGACATGATGTGGGAGACAAAAAGGACGAAGCACAAGCTGTGAGGACAAAATGGAACTGTATGTGTCCTCCATGTTCCTGCTCTAAAAGCTGGCTTTTCTTAGCATATATGAACATTTCCTGTACATGCACATGGCCCAGGGTTTAGGGAGAATGAAAAAGGATATCCAGTGGGAGATGGTTGGTACCAGCCTCAAACCAACAAAATGAGTCAGTAACTAACATATGATGTGTGAGCTACATAACTGTTGGCCCTACAGTGACCTTCATTTCTACCTTCAAAATGTCATGCAAACTTCTTTTGTGGGCAATACTAACCAAGAAGCTTGCAGGGAAGGAAATTATGGGAAGTGTAGATCAAGCTTAGCTACTGTTGACACAGTGCAAAGCCATCATAAGAATCAACAACTGGACAGGTCTTACAAACTTTTTCTCCTTATTCTTCAAAATATTTTGAATTATTCATTCCCAAGGTCTATGCTACTGTACTTATTTCTGTTACCAGGCTTAGGTAGGGGTGGGGAAGGGTACCTATAGGAAAAAAATCTTACAGAAGAAATTCTAAAACATAAAATCAAATAAAAAACACTATGTTCATAGAAAACATATTAAAGTTAATAAGAAAGATGGGACTGAATTAATCTAAAAATTTTAAAAGATTCCAGACAAAATCCCAAAAGACTTATTTTGTAGAACTTATACTACAGACAAAGCTAGTGGAGGTAATAGAATTCCAGCTCAGCTATTTCAATTCCCGAAAGATGATGCTAAGTACTACACTCAATATGCCATCAAATTTGGAAAACTCAGCAGTGGCCACAGGACTGGAAAAGGTCAGTTGTCATTCCAATTCCAAAGAGCAATGCCAAAGAATGTTCAAACTACTGTACAATTGCACTCACTTCACAAGCTAGCAAGGTAAGACTCAAAACACTTCCAGCTAGTCCTCACCGGTACGTGAACCAAGAACTTCCAGACGTACAAGCTGCATTTAGAAAAGGCAGAGACACCAGAGATCAAATTCCCAGCATCCGTTGGATCATAGAAAAAGCAAGAGAGTTCCAGAAAAACACCTACTCATACTTCATTGACTGTGCTAAAACCTTTGACTGTGTGGATCACAATGAAGTCTGGAAAATTCTTAAAGAGATGGGAATACCAGACCACCTTACTTACCTCCTAAGAAACTTGTATGCAAGAAGCAAAAGTTAGAACTGGACATGAAACAATAGACTAGTTCCANACTGATGCTGAAGCTGAAGCTTCAATACTTTGGCCACCTGATGCAAGGGGCCAATTGATTGGAAAAGACCCTGATGCTGGGAAAGATTGAGGGCAGGAAGAGAAAGAGGAAACAGAGGATGAAATGGTTGGATGGCATCATTAACTCAATGCTTATGAGTTTGAGCAAACTCCAGGAAACAATAAAGGACAGGTAAACCTGGCATCCTTTAGTCCACCGGGTCTCAAAGAGCTGGACATGACTTTCTGACTGAACAACAGCAATACTTCACATAAAAGATTAAAAGGTGAAAAATAGCCAGGAGAATTATAAAGAAGAACAAAGTAGAAGGATTTATTCACCAGATATCAAAACCTTTAGGTGGTTGCCAGAGGTAGGGGTTTAGCGGGGTGGGCAAAATGGGTGAATGGGGTCAAAGTGTATAAACTTCCACTTAAGTCATGGTGATGTTTAAAAAAAAAAAGACCTGTAATAAGAACATAATACTGAACACCGTAATAATAGTATAGGAATTGTCAAGGCTGCCAGTGAATCGGAAGAGAGAGATAGGTGTAGATATGTAAAATATGATCAAAGGGACACCACAAATTGTGTAACAAAAAATTAATTATTGGAAAATTAATGTTAGAAAAAGCAATAATCCACAACTTAAAAATTATAATAGATGCCTATTTTATATCATGTATAGAAAGAAAAATCCAGGCAGATCAAGACCTAAATGCAAACAGAAAAATTTTAATGTTTTTAGAAGAGAAAATTCTATAATTTTTTAATTGCATGGAAGCCTTAAGGAAGAAAAAAGCAATTTTAAAAGTACTATAATGCAAAAATTATATAAAACAAGACACTATAAATAAAGTGAAAAATAAGCCTAGAGGCTAAGGGAATATAATTACAATAAACATAATTGACATGGGGTTGGTATTTAGAATATGTAAAGAACCCCACAACACAGTAAGAAAATGAAAAACAGTTTAACAGAAAAATGAGCAAAAGATATGAACAAGCAGTTTGCAAAAGGGAAAACACAGAAAAGAAATTCAATCTCTCTACTATGAGAAATGCCCATTAAAACAACAGATCATTCATATTCATCAGATCAAAAAAATATTTTTTTTTAAGCTACAAAAACAAGTAGTGGTGAGGCTGTGAAGGACAAGGACCTTGCACACCGTTAACATCTCTATTCCTAGGTATAAATAAATCTACTCTAGAAAACTCTTTGTGTATGTACAATGAGAAATATATAAGAATATATATATAATCCTTGCAGCATTGATGTAACATGGAAAATTGCTAACAATATAAATGTCCATCAATAGGTCCTTAAATAAATATAAATTGAGGTATAAATTCCATAAGAAATTCAATAATTAGAATGAACGTAATAGTTACATATGCCAGCATGAATAAACATTAATATATAAAAAATAATCTTGACTAGAAAGGCAATTTGCAGAATTATATATTTATAGTGTGATATCATTTAAATAAAGTTTAGAAATAGGCACAACACTAGCATATGTTATAAGTAAGTAAAGTCACTCAGTTGTGTCCGACTCTTTGCAACCCCATGGACTATAGCCTACCAGGTTCCTCTGTCCACAGGATTTTCCAGGCAAGAGTACTGGAGTGGGTTGCTATTTCCTTCTCCAGGGGGTCTTCCCAACCCAGGGAT